GTTTAACAAGTCTGTAAATGTAATTCACCATATCAATAGAAGCAAAAACAAAAGACTATATGACCCTCCTAATAGATGCAGAAAAAACATTTAATAAAATTCAGTATCTTTCTCTAACAAGAATACCTAAGAATATAGGCATTGGTGGCACATTTCTTAAACTGATTGAAGCCATGTACAACAACCTCCATATACTGAATGGAGTAAAACTGAAAGCTTTTCTCTTGGATGAGGAAACAGACAAGGATGTCCTCTATCACCACTAGTATTCAATATGGTGCTGAAAGTTCTAGCAAATGCAGTCAGACAAGAAAAGGATATAAAGAGCATCCAAATGGGGGAAGGTTATAAAGAGCATCCAAATGGGGGCAGAGCAGGTCAAACTCTTGCTCTTTGCTGATGAAATGATCTTATACTTAGAAAACTCCAGAGACTCAAACACAAGACTTCTGGAAGTGATCAAAAAATACAGTACCATTTCAGGTATAAAATCAAATGTCCACAAATCAGTAGTAACAATTTGGCTGCTAGTAACAGCCAAGTTGAGGAGCTAATCAAAGATACAATTCCCTTCACAGAAGCTTCAAAGAAAATGAAATACCTAGGAATATACCTAATTAAAGAGGTAAAGGGATACCCTGTTTCTTCCCCTATAATGTTCCAGATTTTAAAGCCATCTTTTCACATTTTCTGTAAATAATGGGTAATCATTTTTTATGTTTTATTTTTAGTGCTGTTTTAATAATGTGGATAGACCATGAATGTACTTGCTGAACTCATTCATTTTTAACAAGCCAATAAAGTTTTGTAATGTGTCAAAAAAAAATAAATAAAGAGGTAAAGTGGCCTCTACAAAGAGAATTGCAAAACCCTAAGAAAAGAAATAGCAGAAGACATCAACAAATGGAAGAACATACCATACTCTTGCTGGGAAGAATCAACATTGTTAAAACATCTATTCTACCCAAGCAATCTACAGATTTAATGCAATCTCCATTAAAATACCAACTGTCATGACCCATCAGGCTCCTGTGGCCCTGGTCTCGGTTAGCACAGGAAAGAACCAGGTGAGAGGCAGATTAGAAGTACAAGCTTGTGAAAGACGGGCTAGCCCTTACTTTCCGGTAGCCCGGAGCAACCTCCGCACCAGCCTTTTATTGACACGGAATGATACAGGTGAGGGGAGTAATTAACAATGACTATGTGCTGAGGGCACAGGCTCTTTCTCCATAAGGAGTTCCTGTGGACAAATCGCCCAATAGTTCACCCCTCAGCTGCAAATCATATTGCTTAGAGGTCGTCTGTCCCTTGGTGTCCTTTACAACCAACATCATACTTTTAACAACTGGAAAAAAATTTTTTTTGTTGTTGTATGGAATCAGAAAAAAACACTGTACGCCAAAGGCAATTTTTAGTAGTAAAAACAAAGTCTGGTATCACTCTGCCAGACTTTAGGCTATATTACAAATCTACAGTTATCAAAACCTCGTGGTATTGGCACAAAAATAGAGACATAAACCTATGAAATGGAATAGAAAATCAAGATGTGAAACCAATCTCTTATAGCCCTCTGATCTTTGATGACCCAAACAAAAGCATAAACTGGGAAAAAGAACCCCCATTCAATAAATATTCAAGTGCTGGGAGTACTGGCTAACCACATGTAAAAAACTGAAACTGGACCTTCACCTTTCACCACTTAGAAAAATTGACTCAAGAAGGACAAAAGATTTAAATCTAAGGCATGAAATGATAAAAATCCTAGAAGAAAGTGTGGGAAAAGCTCTTAAGGTGTTAGCCTGGAAAGGATTTTATAAAGACTTCAGTGGTAATCACAACAACAGTAAAAACAAACAAATGGGACTTAATTAAACTGAAAAGTTTTTACATAGCTAAGGACACAACAATTAAAACAAATAGACAACCTTCAGAATGGGAAAAGATATTCGCATATTATGAATCTGAGAAAGGCTTAATAACTAGGATCTATAGAGAACTCAAATTAATCAACAAAACCAAACAATCCCATCTATCAACAGGCAAGAGACATGAACAGAACCTTTTTTGAAGAAGACAGGCAAATGGCTAAAAAACATAGGAAAAAATGCTCATCATCCCTAATCTTCAGAGAAATGTAAATCAAAACCACCCTGAGATATCACTTAACCTCGATGAGAACCTCCCACATCACAGTCTCCCAGAATTGTAGGTGCTTGCATGGATGTGGTAAGAGAGGGACACTTTTACACTACTGCAGGACTGCAAACTAATTATAGCCTGTCTGGAAAGTAATATGGAAATTCCTCAGAGAACTCAAATTAGACCTCCCATTTGACCCCGCAGTCCCACTACTAAGCATCTAGCCAAAAGAAAAAAATTATTTTATCATAAAGACATTTGCATGAGAATATTTATTGCAGCTCAGTTTACAATTGCCAAGATGTAGAAACAACCTAAATGCGCATGAACTCAGAAATGGATTAACAAGCTGTGGTATATGGATACCATGGAGTACATATTTCTTCAGCCAGAAGAAAAGATGGTGACTTTATGTCTTTTCCATTAATCTGGATGGAGATGAAATACATTCTTAATAAAGTATCACAAGAATGGAAAAGCAAGTATCCAATGTGCTCAATTTTATTATGAAGCCAGTAGACGATCTAACACATACCCACATAAGAGAAAAACTTAATTTTATTCAAGTTGGGGGAAGGAAAACGAGGGGGATTGGTGTGCTCCTACTTAAAGGACACAAGGTAGGGGTCTATGACACACCTTTGGGGTATGGAACACAACTACAACAGATTCCAAAATTGTGACTTGGTTGTTTGTACCCTCACAAAAAAATTTTAAAAATACATTAAAAATAAAAATTCCATGTGAAATACCATTTGTATATCAGATAGAAAATAATCAAAACTTTAATATTGTATTGGCAAAGAAGTAAAAGAACAATGATTCTCATATATTGCTAGAAGGTAAAACTTCTGTGGAAAGGAGATTGGCAATATCTATCAAAACTGCAAATTCACATGTCCTTTGACCTAGCCATTACACTTCTAGGAATATGTGCTAAAGATACACTTTTATGAATGCAAAGTGATGAATACATTTATTACTACATTGTTTATAAAAGATAAAAAGGATCTAAACTGTCAATAGAGATCTTTTTTTTTTCGGCCCTCAATGTGGAGATCTTGTTAAATAAATTTTGATATATTCATCTACTGAACTACTATGCAGGTGATAGTAAGAATGAAGTAGTTTTGTGTGATACAGAATAATCTCCCAGATATAGTAAATAAAAACAGCAATGTTCAGAATATTGTGCTATTATTTTTATATAAAATTACATCTTTGCACAAACAAAAATATTTTCTCTCCCATATACTGTATTTGTGTATCTCTGGAAATGTATAGTCTCCTGGTAATAGTGCCTGCCTTAGGGAGATGGAAACTGGCTAGGTTGAGGATCTTTCTATCACACTTGTGTATCATTTGTATTATTTGAAATACAATCCTTTGGGGATGGATAATACTTGGCAAAAGTAAAAGAACAAGTGAGAATGACAACTTATAGAGCCAAGTGTATACTAATTTACTTAGGGAGCAAGGGCAAACTACACATGATTGAATTTATTCAAAAATCAGGTATGATGTCTAGACATTTTTAAATTTACATTTGATGATAGATAAATAATCTCTTTGCCAGTTTAAAATGATAATGATATTAGTATTGAGGGTAAGTACTGCAGAAAATCCTTTACATTCACAATTTCATTTAATGTTTCCAACTACATTAACATTAGAGCCTAAATTTGAGCTCAAAATGATCATTGGTTTACTAAATTATATAGGATAAGAAATAACTTTATATTCTGAACTATAGGTTTTAGGAAGAATTTAATAGGACAGTATTCCTCAAATTACTTGGTAAAATACAATAGAAAAGATAATGTGGGTTAAAGTTTGCCAAGAGATTTAAAAGTTGTCATTCTCAATAAGTGAATGCTACTTTACCTTATGAAGAAATAATCAAACTAGTTTCCACAGCAGAAAAATGTAGTCAGAGAGCCATCTGGTGTTCACATTTTAAAAATACACATTCTTCAAACATCTAATATACTTTCAGTTGCATGGCTATTTTCAATTTGCTGATTACTGAGGTAACTTCACCTGCCCTATTTTATGAGTCTGTGGATTACTCTGAAAGACATAAGTAATGGCAGAATCTGTGATTCTTCAATTTTTTTAATTTTAGCAGGAGTATAATAACATACATGAAACAGGTTCTCAGGTAATGTCTATCAAATGTAATTTAATCATAGTTTTATTACTGGGAAATAGCAAGCTAGAGAAAGTGAAAGATGAGGGGAAGTTTGTCTCAGTGTGTGGCAAGGATATTGGAGAAGGCAGGGAGGAATTAAGAGTCATAATAGTAGAACATTCTATCTTCATAAACTGTTAACTTTTGTAAAATACTCTTATTGCTATCAGCATAGATGATGAATTATTATGTAATTTACTTTGAGATACCTTGTTGCTTTATCAAGATCTCATAATTCTCAAATAGTATTTTTTTTTTTTTATTGAATGGTAACTGTGTACATTGATGCACTTTGGGGGTACAGTGTGGTGTTTTCATACATAATCCAAGACACTTCCATCAAACTGGTTAACATAGCCTTCATGTAACTTTCTTAGTTATTATGTCAAAACATTCATATTCTGCTTCAAATAGTATTTTAATTGTTATTTGTTCTTTACGAGGTTTTTGTTTCTGGTCTTTATCTTAAACATTGTTATTGTTATTATTAAATTTTAAGCCTTTTTAATTTTGTGAAGGCAAAAAGTGGAAACCAAATAAACACATGTATGTGTATAGAGAAAATAAAAAAATAATAAAATTCATAGATGCAAAAGAAATTATTTCAACTGAGAATAATTGCAAAATGAAATCAAGAGATTTTCTAATAAATGTATCTCTTATGTTTTAGAATGTGCTACTCTTCATAGTATGGTAAAAGGACTACAACAGACCATTGAATATCAACACAATTTGAAAAGTAAGTTAGGAAAAAAAATAAAATCTAAAAAAGCATGACTTATTTGACCACCTTTAAAAATAGAGAGTTAAGAGCAAGACTCCTCGCTACTTAAAAGTACTTTCCTAGATGATTATAAAATAAGAAATTCTATGTTGGACAAAGTCTTTCAGTCATATTCTGACAGGGGATGTTTTATAATAGGTCACAATAGTTCTTTTTATTATTTTTAAATGTTTATTATTACTTTCAAATGTTTGGAAATATATTTATTATCAGTCACACTCTTGGTTTTTAATTACCCTGTGTTCAGTTTTGAAAGGTGGGTTTTTAGTAGTTAAATGATTTTTTATTCAAACCATAGTGATAATTTACCATTTAATTTTTTGTCATTGACTAAGACTGTCTTTGTGTAAGTAAAGCAAACATATTTAGCCTATCTTATTTTAAATAATCATGTTAACTTGATAAGTTTACCATTCACAAAACAAAGTAACCAAGTGTTTTGCTATTCTGATTCAGCTATGTAATAGTTGTGAGATTTTCCTCTCAGAGAATCAACTAAATTGCTATAAGGCCCCTTCCAACATAGAACTGACAACAAATAAGCATTGGAGAAATAGGGAAAATTGTATAAAATAATCTTAAAGTTTATTTTTTAAGTCATTTTTTAAAATTTTTATTATTTTTTGTTGTTGCAGTTTTTGGCCATGGCTGGGTTTGAACCCACCACCTCCAGTATATGGAGCCGGCACCCTACTCCTTTGAGCCACAGGTGCCTCCCCCTTAAAGTTTATTTACTAGTAGAAAGACCTAAGAATAAACCAGAAAACTATGTTTTTATGAAAAAAATGTGGGGGAAGGGGTCTCCCATTACCAGATAATAGCATACTCTTAAGCCATTCTATAGAAAATAATATGGGTATTGGCATAGAAATAGAAAAATATATCAGTGGAAAGAACAGACAATCTAGAAACAGGCTTTAATATATATGGTAATGTATAACACAAAGAATATTTCAGTTATTGGAAAAGAATAGCATTTTAATATAATAATGGTACAACTGGCTTTCTATCTGGAAAAAAGAAAGTTGGATTCTTTTCTAATATCAAAATTAAATTCAGTTTTACAAAAATTTTATCAGAAAATTTAATATATTTGCCACAAACACCTAGAGGACTAGACTCTCAGAAGTAAAGAATTTTGTTATTTCTTCCCTTAGTGGTTCCCAACCTCTGAGAGATAGACCCTATGGAAAAAACAAGGGAGAGCAATTAAAAAGCTAAGAAAAACTTCTTTCCCACTTTTGTTGAATCCTTCCAGCCACAAATCTAGCTGGTGATGAGGATCATGAAAACTTTCAGTTAAATAGGAAATTAGAGGTTCACATTGATTCAGATGTTTAGTCATCAAAATTAACTGCAGGGTTTTAAAATTTGCCCAAAAGGTCATTAAGGCATTGTTTCTAGTTACCCAAACCAGACACCTAAAAGGTGAAGACTCTCCCCTCTCTTTCTCTTTTGCCTCCTCTATCCAGTCAGTTCCTAAAAAACCTGGAAATTCTACCATCTAGATGGTTTTCCTCAGTGCCCACTTTTTTCCATACTGTCACTGGCCTAATTTTGGTTTGTTATGTCCTATTTGATCTAGCCTTACTAATCTCATTTCTCTAGGGTCAGCACTCTCCATCATGATTCACATTGCCGGATGATCTTTTTAGTATGTAATTCTTAATCAGTTCACTTACTCATTGTTCAAAATTCTTTAAAGACTCCCCATAATCTTTAAAACAAAATCCAAAGTCATTTATATATAATAGATCCACCTTGGTGATATGGCTCCAATCTATATAGCACCTCCTCCTCACACTGTACACTCCAACAATGTTGTACTTGATTTATAGTTTTTCCAAATATGCTGTATTCACTCAAGGCCTTCTGTGCAATTTTGTGTGTTTAGAATTCCCTATCTTAACACAGGAGAAGCCTTATCACTTAAATCTCAGCCCAAATGGTCCCCCTTCTCTAAATCCTTTCCTGACTTCAAGCTGATTTAAACTTTCTTTTCTCAGATTTCCACAGTATTTCAGATACATTTTCCCTATAAAACAATTAACATATCATATTATAACTACTAACACATCTGACTCATTAGGGGTTTGAGTTCTTTGAAGAAAATGACTCTCTTTTTGTTTCTACGTTCCCAGTATCTAGCATAGAGTCTAAAGTGTAGTAGGTACTGGACATATGTTTGTTGAATGCATACGTGAAGGAAAGCTAAAACATTAAACATATCCCCATATTAATCAAAAAGTTGAATTTGTTCTTTGATTATTTTTATACAGATGAAAATGAACAACTAAAGAGAAATGCTGATCTTATAAAAGAGAAGTTAAAATCTCATGAACAGGTGAGTTTATATATCAACATATTCAATCAAGTCCCTATAGAGCAGTGGTTCTCAAACTTTTTGGCACCAGGGATCAGTTTCATGGAAGACAATTTTTTCACAGATAGCAGGGTGGGGGAAAGGAAGTGGAGCTCAGGTGGTAATGCTGTGTGGCCCAGTTTCTAATAGGCCACAGACTAATACTGGGGTTGGGGACCATAGCTGATTGTTTTCATTAAAAAAACATAGCCAAAATTTGTGTGTATGCAAATATATATTATATATAATCACCAAAATATTTAATAAATGAAAATTTATTTTTAAAGTAATGCAAGTTTTGAAAAGCCTAATCTTTCTATAAGATATAATGTACTAATACATCACTTGTATTAATTTTTCTTTCACTAAAAAGAGACACAGTTATTTTGCTACACATTTTCAATTACATTAATAGAGTTTTTACTCTGACGTATACTCTACTGATTAGCACTTTTGAACACTTTTTATTATAAAGTAAATGACTCTGTACTCTTTATAATTGGGATAATTGTTGAAATTTCAAATGAAGGGGACATTTTATATGGATCACAAATTAATTCTTTCTCAAGGACCACCATACCTTCTGCAACTTTCCTTATCTCCTATAGGAGCAATATGGTACTAACAATCATAGGCAGTGCCTAAGAAATATAAAAGATGCTTAATAAATGTTGGTTCCCATTCCTCTGCTCTTTGAGGGGACCCATTATGCTAACTTACTCTCATCTCCTAAGAAGCAAACTCAAGTTGGATCTATAGATTTTAATTTGAATCTTCTCTAAATTCAGTCTGGTTCTTCATTTAAGAAACTTGCCCAGGAGTTGGGGTAATACTCAGTAGTAATTAATAGCACTCTGGCTGTGCTCTTGGAAAATATAGCATTTCATTGCCAAGTTTGAGGTGGTTTAAGTATCTCTGGAATGTTTCTTGTTTTTTGAAAGGGCCATTTATGCAAAGTGGCTCCCAAATGCTGAAGGAGCTGAAAATCCAAAGAAGTAGGCAAACAAATTCAGTTTGTTGGTACAGAATGATTCATTAGGGGAACTTAGGGACAGAAGCCTAGCCTTTGGTGGCTACAAGATAAGTAGATATCCACACTGCAGCCCACTAGACTCAGGGCTTATATCTCAGGGGAAAAGTATATGTGGTCTGAAAGGAATGCATAGGTGGCTATGGGCATTGCAGCTATGATATATGCAACATGATCAAGAATTTTAGAGAAAAGGCAAGTAAATAATGTTCCTACATAAAGAGTAATAAATGACCTAGACTTCTTAGAGGCATTCCTGGACTTAAGGTTAGTCAGGAGTCACAAAGCAGATAAACTTTAAATTAAAATCACTATTGTCCTCACACATTCCATCCACCCCTCCCACCTTTTTTTCTCTTTTTCCTTTATTCTTTCCTAATCCCTTCCATACCTTAACTCTAGAGTTTAATAGTAGATGGTGAAGTCAGGTTGGAATCAGGGAAGGAAAATTTTACCTCTTTTCTTTCCTAAAATTTCAAGCCCTATGATATTACTTTGTCTAGAATACTATAGGAATTTTTAAAGGGGGTGGAAATTAAAGAAAAAACACTAAAACCCAAGATTCTGAACTTTTTAAATAGCTGCTATTCAAAGCAAACTAAAAAATTACCTCAATCCAATGAGAGTTTGACCTTTTTTTTAACTTCCTCAATACCATCGAATATCTTTTAAAAGCTGTGAACCCTTTTTGAGAAAAATACTCACAGGCACACATATGCGCACACACGAGTATAACTTTGCATAACATTTCAGAAAGTTGAGGGACCCTCAAAATCCCATTCACTGAGTCTAGGCTAAAAGTTATGACCTAAATAATTTTTACGTCAGTGTGCACACACAAGGTGGGACAATTACATTTTTAAACCATCCTAGAAAAAGTGCTACGTACCTCATTGCTGAATATCACTATAGTCACCTTATAAGTACTCCCTTTGGGAAGCTATGCACTGACTGCAGCATCTAGCTCACCCTTCAGAGCACTTTTTCTAGGATGAGTTTGTGAACTTAATTGTGAGGCCTCCTATAAGGACAACTCTGATGGCCATTCCAGAAAGAGTTCCAAAATTCCTTACAAGGGTGGACTAAGCACTCGCATCAATGCATAGCTTCCCAAGGGGAGTCCTTTGAAGGTGACCGCAGTGATATTCAGCAATGAGATATGTAGCACTGTTTCTAGGATAAGTTCACAAACTTAATTGTCCTGCCTTCTGTGTGTGTGTGTGCGGGTGTCGGTATGCCAAAAAAATGTATACACATTTAAAGTGGCATTATCTATGTATTACTTTTTCACTGACGGTAGCCACTTTGAGCACCTCTTGTAATCGCAGAAGCTAAATATGACTTGTATTCATCTTTTGTTTTCAGTATATATTGAGTATTACAATTTTAAAACATTTTTCCACCATATATACACATATATGGGGGAAAGGACAGAGAAAGAGAACTCAGTGGGAACACAATATTGAGTACCAGCTTTTGTGATATGTGGAGACTTTTCTTGACCTCTTGCCTTTATTATTTCCTTTTTTCTACTCTCCTACTTAATTCTTTCTGCTTTCCTTTTCTCTTGCCTACATCTTAGGCCTGTGAGTAGTTTCTTTATGTAGATACATCCCCCTGGAAAAATGTAAAATTTGTCTTGAGTGCTTTCTGTTCTGCTGTCTACTCTGAATGCTCCTCTTTCTGTTCTTAGCATGATACATCTATCTCCCCTTTGCGTCTATAATTTAAGGCACTAATCTCAGGCAGCTATCAAGGACTTTTCGAATCCCAAATTTATCTTTCTCCTGATGCCTCCCCCTAAAGCTAACCTTTATTACAAGTAATGCTTTATCTCCTTCTGGGAATTAGAAATATTCATATAATTTTCAGAAACAGAGCTTCAACCCACTTTCAAAGGTATTCATCCTACATTACAGTAAGCTTGTTAGCTATAGAACAGTCCCTTCTGTTGTCTCCAAAGTATCGTTTTACCTCATACTGAATGTACTTTAATGTTGTGGTATCATTTGTTCATGCAGTTAAGCTAAATATTTTGAGAATCCATAATATGCTAAACACTGATGATGAGTATTCAGGAAGCAAAGATAAAAAAGACATTGTTTCTGTATTATCTTTATCTCTTTGGATCAGAAATGGGTCTTTCTCATGGAATTCATGAAGCAGAGAGTACAGTGGTTGTTCGCAGGAGTTGTTGGGGTAGGGAGATATTGGTCAAAGGATATAAAATTTCAATTAGACAGGAGGAATGAAATTCAGTAGATCTGCTGTACAATGTGGTGATTGTAGTTAGTAACAATATTTCATAGACCTGAAAATTCTGAGAGTAGATTTTAAATGTTCTCACCATAAAAATATAAGTATGTGAGGTATGAATATGTTAATTAGCTTGATTTAGACATTTAACTAGATATACAGGGTGTCCATAAAGTTCATGTGTAATCTACTCGGTTAAACTATTTTAAATTGCACATGAACCTCTATGTCTATCCTTTGTATATTTATCTCAAAACATCAGTCAGGCACAATGATAGTCTTAGCTACTTGGAAGGCTAAAGTAGAAACATCCTTTGAGGTCAGGAGTATAGGATCAGTCTGAGCAATATAGCATCTCTAATAAAAAGATTTTGTTTGAGGGTAGAAGGGTCCACCAGGCCCTGCAGTGGGGGAAAAAATCTGCTCTTTGCCTTAAAAAAAAAAAAAAAATATATATATATATGTTACGTATATGTTATGTATACATGTTATATGTATATATTTACACATATATATAATGTTGTATACCATAAATATATATAATTTTTATTTGTCAGTTTAAAAATAGCATTTAAATTACATAAATAAATATATTACATACATGCAAAATAAAAAAAATTGATGTTTCTCAAAGCTGATTATTCAAATGAACAATATTTTTCCCTTCTAGATATGATTACATATCAAATACTGTGTTAATATAAACTAAGAATTTTATCTTTCTAATTAATCAAAAGTTGTATACCCATATTTCCTTTTCGAATGAATATATATTTTAATCTCTAGGAACATAAGGATAATATTGCCAAACTTATGAGTGAAATGAAAATCAAAGAGGAGGGACATAAGATAGAAATGAGCAAACTTTATCAGGACATGCAGAAAAAAAGTAAGTTTTTAAATGTTTAATTTAATGAATTCCACAATATCATGAAATAATTTAAATATGTGTATGTATGATTTTTTCAGTGGTAGCCAATATTCTTGAATGAATGCTGCCTTGACGCATTTTAATTTAGATTTTGTAGCTTTCTACATATTTATGTATAGAAATACATTTTCTAATTTTGATTCCTATAACTACAATGTAACATATACCATATGACTCAGAAATCCTACTCTTAAGTATTTGCCTAAAAGAAATGAAAGCATCTGTATCACAAAGACCTGTTTGTGAATATTTATAGCAACTTCATTCCTAAGGGCCCTGAACTGGAATCAAGCAAATTTGTTAGTTGGTAAATAAACACATCGTGGTACATCCATACAGTGGAAATTATTCAGCAATGAAAAGGCACAAACTACTGATACATTCAGCAATATGATCACTTGAAAAGCATTACAGCAAATGGAAGAAGCCAGACCCAAAAGGCTATATACTGTATGATTCTGTTTTTATAACATTCTGGAAAAAGGAGACATTATGATGACAAAAGTCAGATCAGTGTGCCAGCATGTGAGTAAAAGGATGTACTGCAAGGGACACAAGTGCTATTTTTGAAGCAATGGAAACTTTTATTAGTATTTCTTGATTGTAGTGATGGTTAGATTATGTATGTTTGTTAAAACTCATCAAACTTTATACCTCAAAAGGGATTTTGCAGGGCAGTGCTTGTGGCTCAAAGGGGTAGGGTGCTGGCCCCATATTCCAGAGGTGATGGGTTCAAACTCAGCCCCGGCCAAAAACTGCAAAAAAAAAGCAAAAGGGATTTTGCTATATATGGGTTATGCCTCAGTAAATCTGACTTTAAAAATATGCAAACTCAATTATAAAAATTTTAAAAAGGAAATAAATACACTAAGATTCACAGAATGGCAATATCAAATATGGAACTTACATTTACTCTGATTAACATAATTGAGGAATAAAACAATGTAATGGTAAATTTTGATAAAAAACTGAAAATTATAATAGAGAAATATATGGAGCTGAGTGTGGTGGCACATGTCAATAATCCCAGACACTTGGAAAGTTGAAGTAGGAGGATCACTTGAGTCCAGGAGTTCAAGACCAGCCCAGGCCACATGGTAAGACCTCATCTCTAAAAATATTTAAAAAATTAGCCAGGCATGGTAGCACATGCCTATAGACCAGCTATTTGGGAGGCTGAGGTAGGAGGATCACCTGAGCCCAGGAGTTTGAGGTTGCAAGGAGCCATGATTATACCACTATACTCCAATATAGACAACAGAGTGAGATCCCATCTTGAAAAGAAAAGAAAGCAAAACAAAATAAAAGAAACACATGAAAATGTGAGTGCTGAAAACACAATAACTAAAAATAAAGTTTCAATGCATTGGTTTAATAGCCAATTAGATACAACTGGAGAGAGAATTAGTAAGTTGGAAAATAAATCAGAAGAGAATATCCAACCCAAGGCAGAGAAATTCAAGAAGATGACATATATAGAAAAGAACATATGAGACATAGGAAGTAATAGTATATTCTATGAAAGGCTGTTGTCTCTGTATTTAGTGTTACGACTAAAGTTGCTGCAGTCAGAGGAAAACTGGATATGAAGTAGGAAAGAGTGAGGATGAACTAGAGCCTGAATCTTTCTTACACTCCTTGTAACCTGATGACATGGTGACCTACAGAAAAAGATGGTGCCCTACAGGAAAAGATGGTGTAGCCATAGAGCTGCAACGACACCTGGCATAGGATTCATATCAGCTAAAGGAAGAAATCTGGTTGGAGCTTTAAAAAACTATGGAACTCAACTCCCATATTAGTAAGGTGACCTAGTGATCAGTGACAATTCAAATTTCCTTGTGCTTAGAAAATAATAGATGCTGATTTGGTGAGACAGCCAGTGACACCAGATGTGAACTGCAACATTGCCTAGCATGCTAATTAGCTCAGAAGGTTTCAAATCTTGTGCATATGTCTCCTGTAGCCAACTCTAACTTAGAACCACATAGGAAAGGGAATTCTGAAAAACATAGCAAACATACTTCTAATTTAGCTAGTACAAAACCACCAAAGATAGAGGGGAAGTAAATGGGATTAAAAGTATTGTAAGATTTTTATATAATGTCTGTAAATTGGTAAAAGTACTAATTTTATTAGATTCCAGTAAATCAAGTGTGCATACCATATACATCAAGTAAACATTAAAGGAAGAATAAAAGAATATTTATCAAGCTAATGACTATCAAGCTAATAGAGGAGAAAAAGGGAAATAAAAATAGTGATTCAGGGCAGCGTCTGTGGCTCAGTGAGTAGGGCACCGGCTCCATATACTGAGGGTGCTGGGTTCAAACCCAGCAAAAAAATAGCCGGGCATTGTGGCAAGCGCCTGTAGTCCCAGCTACTCGGGAGGCTGAGGCAAGAGAATCACCTAAGACCAAGAGCTGGAGGTTGCTGTGAGCAGTGTGATGCTGCTGCAGCACTCCACCAAGGGCGAGAAAGTGAGACTATGTCTCAAAAAAAAAAAAAAATAGTGATTCAGTCCAAATAAAGACAAGAAAAAAGAAGAAAGGAACACAATGTAAAAAACAGCAAATAATAAGCTGATAGATTTAAACCCAAATATATCAGTAAATGTATTAAATGAACTTTGACTAAATGTTCCAATTAAAAGACAAAGATGATTAAATTAGATAAATATTAAAATCTTCTAATATGATTCTTTAAAGCTATACACCTAAAGTGTAAGATATAAAAAAAAATAAAGCAAAAGATGGAAAAGGATATTACATTTGCATGGTAACCAACATAAAGGTGGCATAGCTATACCAATATTGCACAAAGTATACTTTAAAACAAAAAGCAATACTAGAGACAAGGATAAATATTTCATTATGATAAAATTAATCCACCAGAAAAATATAACAACAATTCAAATTTACATGTACCAAATGATAGAGCTTTAAACATATGAATCAAAAGTTGGTAAAACTCAGTGTGATGTAAGTATTCCTAATTCCATATGAAATCAGCACATTGTACCCCATAAATGCATTAATGTATACATGATTTATGTGTTTATGATTTAATTAAAAAAAAGAATGATTTAAAAAAATTGGTAAAACTAGTGAGAGAAAGAGACAATTCCACAATCATAGTGAAAGATTTGAATTCACCTCTTTTAGTAGTTGGAAAAGTACATAAAAACATACAAAATCAGTAATGATATAGAAAATTTAAACAATAAAATCAACAAATTGACACATATAAAAATTATATCCAATAAATGCAGAAAATGTGCTATTTTTAAGTATCCATAGAACATTTAAGAAAGTTGACCATTTCATGAACCAAAAAGCAAATTTTAACACACTTCAAAGGTCTGAGTAGATACTTTGGCTGCTTTGCAATTAATGTAAAGTTGGTAAAATACAGATAAATAGAAAACCCCTATATGTTCAGAAATTATTTCTGAATAATCTATGAATCAAAGATAAAATCCTAAAGGAAATTTTAAAAATTAAGCTGAATTATATAAAAAACATTACATATCAAAATTTGTGGGTCACTGCTAATGCTGTGTTATATGGCCATAAGTATAAATACTAGAAAATGCTAAAAATAAATTATCTAAATATAGATATATATTAGGAATTTAAGAAGCCCCTTATTTGCAGGGATGATGAACTAATTGACTCTTTCTTTTCTTTTTAAAATCAAAGATTTCCTTGAGGCTCCCATCCCAGATGGCATGGTGTCATTGATAGTAATAAAAAAATAGAAGAGGAAATTTGATGAAGCATAGAGACATGATGGAAACACAACAGAGGCCTAATCCTATGAAGTAGTATAGCAGGGGCTTAATGAAGCTCTAGAGAGTCATCTACTAGTTTGGGCCTTTTACATGTGGGACCCCAGGCTTTGTGACCCTCTTTAACCACAGGAATTATTTATTCTTTTTTTAGGTTATTGATGTTTAAGAGTACAACTTCGTTAATTTATTCAAAAGCATTCAATGAATGACCTTTGTGTTTGAGCATTATGCAGGGTCTTATCGAAAATATATTAAAGGTCTACCCTATACATAAACAATTTCTAAAATATGTTTTATTAATAAAATTTACTTTCTTGTAAATTATTTAAAATACTAAAGAAATATAGGCCTTTATTTTTAGAATGTTAAATTAATGAATTTTATTTACTTTTATTTTATTCAGTTGAATTATGTGAGGAAAAGCACAAAGAACTAATAGGGAAAAAGGAAATGGAAATTTCAGAGTTAAATGCAAAGTTAAGAACTCAAGAGAATGAAAAACAAAGTGAAATAATCAAGCTACAGCTAGAGGTAGGTTTAAGAGTCTGCTAAACTAGAGGACATATCCCTTAGTCTAAACTGCTCTTGGATTATTTTTCATCACAGTGAGATAAATTTTGGGACTAAGAACAATCCTGTGAGAGGGCTTCCATACCACTCATTCTCTACCAAATGCAATGCTCAAAGACCATAAAACTGTCACCTACACTGCTTTTCAGCACTTGGCCTAAAGGTGGAACTCTTCAGTTGTTCAGAATGTCCTAGTTTCCAGAAAGGGTGTTGTTTCCTCTGAGAGTGGGAACAGGTAACTCAGGGATTACCTGTATTTTACAATCAAGTCTATGTAGTCTTCATAAGACTGCTATTCCAATGTGGGGTGAATGTTTCTAATTTTCAACATTTAAACCAACCAGAAATTGTGGAACCCTAGGGTAAACCAATCAGAAATTTCTTTTGCTTTACTTGGGATACAAAGAGATAAATTTCTTCCTGATAAATTTCTGGAAAAATATATGTCCTAGGGGCAAACAAACCAAAATTTTTTTTAAAAACCACAAAAAACAAAACTTAGAAGGAACTTCAAATATGGTATCTTAAAGGGGTTCCAGCTCTTTGCTCTAAAGCCTTTCAAGGTTATTTAACCAGATGTCACATCCCAAAGATAATGATATGTTAACAGAATGTTCATTCTTTACATTTTTTTTGAGATCCTACCAATCTTTCTTTGATTCATGCTTCTCTTGCTCTCCCTACCCCATCTCCAACTCTCATTTTACTTAATGGACTAAGAATTCCCAGGTCTTGGTTGAGATAACCTACTATTCATTTTTCTGAAACTTTGGTATCCTGGGGTGCTTGGTAAGATGCCATGTGGGCATAAGGAGGACTGATGTTGACTTTAAAGGCTTTTTACTGCTACTGCTGCTGCTGCTGCTACTGCTGCCATCTGGCCAAGTATACCCACAAACCAGAGATGGCCAGCTGAAAATAATAGGCCATGTTTCAAGATCTACCACCAACTTCTAATCCACTATTTGGAAATTTGCATTTTGTTTGCCATTTGAGCCCTGGCACTGGTCTAGCCAGAGTCAATCACTTACAGAATTCTTGGTTATTTGTCTTCTTTGTACCTACCCATTTCTCTCTCATCAGAACACAATCATGAAGAGTTTATTCTTTGTCCTCACAGAGGCTACACTAAAAGAAATCTGAAGGAAAGAATTGTAATAGAATATAGTGCACAAAAGACAATTGGCCTGGAGGAATGACCTATGAGAATTTTTTAAACCCAATTCAGTTTAATTTCAAAATTTCTGTAGAGGGATATGTGAGTTTTTTTTCCATGACTGTTGAGTACACCGTATTATCTTTATAATACATTCATGGTAATGTGAAAATATTTTTACCTATCTTTAAGTTAAACCAGATTCTCAACCCTGGCTGCATGATAAATCACCTGATATTTTGAGAAAAAGATGATGTAGATACTTCCTAAAATTTCTAAGTTAGTACCCACACATTTGGCACTTTTAAAAAGCTCCCAGGTAATTTTAACATGAAATCAGGGTTATTAATCTGGTATGTTCTTTGCTCTTTCTTAAAAATTGTCACTTAAAGATTTTTCTATTGTCTGTTACACAGGATTCCATGTATTATACTTTATTTTATTTATATTTATGAAATAATTGTTTCTAATTGTTTAAATAGTCCCAGTAACTCTCTTTTTTTAAACTTGGTTCAGTTTGAGGCCAAACTAGCAAAAGTTCAAACTAAATCAAAATCATATCTGGATTCTACTGCTTTGCCACAGAGTATCTACCGAAGGGTATGTGAGTTTTTCTCCCATGACTATTGTTTAAGAAAGTATATTTTCTTAGTGTGTTTCTATAAAAATTATGTAATATTTAATAATATATGTAACAAAACTTTTTTATTCTTATTCCAGTTTTGCCTATTAAATCTCACAAAACTGAAATTATAGACCTTTCAAAATGAAGTCTCTTTAAATATACCAGAAATTTATTTTTTGTTGTTCCTTATACAAAAATCTTATTTTTTCATTGCAATAACAAGTTTGTTCTGCTTCATTTAGAAGCTTCAACATTTTCAAGAAGAAAAAAATAAGGAGATTGCAGTTCTTCGTAATACCATTCGTGATTTAGAGCAACGTCTTTCTGTTGGCAAAGATTCTCACTTTAAGCGAAGACGGTTTTGACCGTAGCAGTAAATTCACTAGCTGCTATTGAATTTCTTTAAGGGTGGTTGAAAATTTTCCTTCTATTTTCAGTATAAGCATACAACCTAAATAATAATACACAAAACTACAGCTTCAAACTTTGAAAAATTGAGTTTATTTAGACAAATCCCTGCCTTAGCCAATTTTGTGCTCCATTCTTGCTTATTGGTATTAGCCATAAAGGAGTTCAGGTTTACAGGGTTTACTTTACCTATTAAACCATCATTGACTATGGAAATACTTTCTAAGCAGTCTAGAGATAGACAACATTCTTTTATCCTTTCCTTTACATCTTTAAAGACAGCCACTCAAATTTTAGAAGAGTGAAATATAATGTTAGAGAAAGAAGATATAAAGGTTTTATTCATATGTGATAGTAAAAATCAAGATATGAGTCCTAGATATAAAAAAGATAAATGGATATTTAAAATGTAGCGATAGGTGCTTTTTAGCAAAACATTCATGTGTTAAGTATTTCTGGATTTTAAAATATCTTTCTTTAAAGATATTTAATCCATTAAAAATGTGAGATTGAAAAGACAAAGACAATTGTTTTCAGAGATAAGTAAAGAAAAAAATGGAAAGCATGTCTCTGTTGTTCTTCCTCCATTCTAAATTGCTCACTTTCCAACAAAAACCCCTAGGTCATAGTTTATGTTTCTGTTCTCATTAACGCAATTAGAACGCTGGAAAAAGAAAAAAAAAGACATACTAACCAAAACCTGAAATCACCTTGCACTTGCCCCATAATAAACACAGGATCTGGGTTAAAATTACTATGACATAAAATTTTAAATCTGGAAGCTACTCCATTAGATTTCTCCATGTTTGCACAAATCCATTTTCTATTTTTGGCTCACTGATTAATTTGGTAGTTCTTAAAAATGCTAGAAGTAAAATTGTGTCTAGACTGAGTTGGGGAACGTATCTCATTTTAAATATTTAGTTTGAAGGTCATTCTCACTTTTTTTCCTTAATAGCTCCGCTTCACTTAGGGCTGGTTTCTGTGGGAATGAGCTGCTGACTTGCTTGTCAGACAGCTGGAGGCAAACGTCACTGACAAGATTCAATTACTTTCTCCTCTGCCCAAAGTCCCTGTCAGCTACATAAAGATGGGAAGTTTTCTTTACACTGTCAGGTGATTGCAGACCCTGTTTTTTCAAATATTAGATGTCGACAATATCAGCATCAGCTAGTAGGAGCCAACTCTGAATCTTGGGACAACTTTCAGAGTAACTGATTTTTACATCTCTTTTGTCAGAGCTTTTGTGCAAGTTGTACACCTTCACTTCCTAGCATATGTCAGTTCTCTGGGTGACCCTGCCTGTGCTGACCCTTGTGCTTATGATGGTGATGAAGGTCTCGAGGAGGGGGGTGAGTAGGAACATCTGGGGCTCCTGGTTGCTGATTCTCTGAAAGCTCACTGCTCCCAAGATGCTGATGCCTATGATTGTGATGATGCTTGTGGTGGTGATGATGGGGCTGTGGAGCTTTGGTTGTTTTTTCCACAGTAGCCAAAGATACATTTTTACAGAAGTCTTCATCTTTGAGAGTCTGGAATAAATTTATAAATGTAAACAGATTACCAACAAATTTATAGATTTAGCAGGAATGCATATAAAAAGGATTTATACAGCTGACACAAAATTTCAACTAGGATAAAGCTGGTTTTGTTTTTCATTGTCATATTAATGAGTTAAGAACCTGACGTTGGTCACAACATGTACACTTTTTGTTAAAGGCTTAAAGAGAAAGTCAAATCACTGTATTTATACCTGCAAAAACAAAATGAAGTAAGCTGGCTAAAAGAACTTAGATGGCAGTAAAGTCAATCAAATTCTAAAATCAATTGACCTCTGTGGAACCTTCCTGTGTCAATAGTGCATCTAATCTAATACTAATTTTCCTAAGATAATTCAAAAATCTCATAAACTGTGCTCAAATTTAGTGGTTTTTCATACTTTAACCTAGGATTAAAGCAGCATGCCAAGATATGCTTTGTACTTCAACCCAAGCTTTGCTAATGTGTCCCTTCTTTAGTGCCGCCAGATGAAAGTAGCAAATTACTGCCCATTTCCCTTTGACCATAATATTCCATCCTTCATGATCCTAGTTCTTTACTTCACTGAAAGTCTGTTATTGTTTTGTGATACCCACAAATCACAAACTCAAAGCCTGTAGATATAGCAACATCATATTAAACCTCAATTCAAAGTTGAGTTGTAAATAACATTACAAAATCAACTTAGAATCCAAAGACTCACTAAGTGATATGGTTTGATGTTTTGAAGAGTTTTAAAAGATTATAAATTCCATTGGACTTTAGCATATAACTACTGAGTGGTTCATTTTTTGGTTATTTCTGAATTACTTCTACACTAGAACTTAGTAATATTTAATTATAAACTTGTAAATAATTTGATAAATATTTAAAATACACTGTGTAATGTTTGAAGTGTTCAGTTGTTAAACAAACAGTTGTACAGTCTACTTAATTTAAAAAATTAATTAATATATTTTGTTGATTCTGTGATCCATGTTTTCTTACATTTTAATATCTCTAAAATTAGAATGTATTCTACTATTGATGGTGTTTTAGCACTGTATCGTCCTTTAATTGGCAATTATTTTTTCTTACTAGTAAATAAATAATGTGTCATCTAATTTATGGCATCAAAGAAATAATGAAATAGAAAAACTTCAATTTGATTCGGCATATTAGATACCAATCAATTCAGTATCTGATCAGTGATTCTTCTTTACAGGTGGTTCATAAACTAAGCATATTATGGGGATTGCCCTGCCTTTTCTCAAAATAACTAGGTACACTTATAACTATTGAGCATTTGCACAATTGCAAATACAGAAATATAGAAATAATCCTAAAAGATGAAGAATCAATATAGCTATCATTCATTAAGGGCTTAGTATAGGTCAAACATTGAGTTAATACTTTTCTTGCATTACCTCAGTTCCTTCATCTTTAAAAGAAGTAAAACAATCCTTTTAAGATTATTATGAAGATTAACACATGAAAAATTATATAAGTAATGTAATTAACCTGAAGTACTCCTCAACAATCAATAAATTAATTAAATGATTTGTTAAAATTTGAAGTGACTTTCTTTAGAGCTGAGAAAAATCTAAAGGAAATATAGTTCACAAATAAAATTTAGAATTCTTTTTAAAACTGAGTTCAAATTTTTCCAGTCTGTCCCATTAAGGAAATATTGTTTAGAATTCTTTTCCTTTTCAATATAAAGGAAAATAAGTCTAGCTATATAAATTAAAATCAATTGTTTCAGTATCTCTTTTGTTAAAAAAGATTTAAATATAGTGCTTCTCATAACAAAGAATAGATATTTTCATGGTTGCCAGGAAAAAAATATCAGTAATAAGAATATTTATTTCATTTTGAAATAAACAGTAATTCAGACTACAGAAAGGACAGAAAATGTAAGGGCTTCAGGGAAAATCTGATAGTCTTGAACCCTTGATAAATTAAGTAATTTTCTGGCCCGAATTCCATTTCAGCTAATGCCATGAAATGGCACTATCACTATATTCTTGTGTGAAGATATTCAGGTAACTACAATAATATTATTTTATGTGTTGATTAAACTCTGTGAACACTCACGCAACATCATTTGGTGGTAATTGAAATATGTTATCTATGCTGATTTTTATTTTCTAAAACCTTATAGATAAAGGCAGCAACATGGATTTCAAAAATATACTTTAAAAGCATGTATTATATAACAGGAAATGTGTGTAATTATACAAATTACTGTTGTTTATTTTTAGCACAAAAACAAAGACATTGATTGGTAATTTATTATGAAGCGCTAACTTATTTAGATAGTTCTTAAATGATTTCCTTTTTTCTCCCAGGAAAAATAATTGAACAAATACCGTGTGAGAGCAGTTTCCACATTTCTTTTCACAGTAAGCAATCTTAATGGCTTCTTCTACATATGGAAAAGTTAGGAAGGAATAAGGCAAACCAAGATGATATACAAGACGGCCACATCTAAAAATAAAAAAAAAAAGGAAAGAAAGAAAAAACACAATGTCATTACAATATTTTCTGTATCATGATCCTACTCAAGTTCAATCTAGGGTAGGTATTCTAGGTTTAGTGGTGATATAATAAGATCCTCTGATGCTTTCAATTTTCTTTGATGGGAAATTACAAATGAGCTCCCAAGCATTTACATACCAAGTCAGGTCATAGCAAGACCACAATGAGTCTTAATACATGAATGCTAGCATTTTGAATTGTTATAGATAGATATGTCACTACATACAAAAATGCCCAATATAGCCATTGTGATATGGTCAAATATAATTTTATAATTGACTTACAAATTCTACTAGAGCCCAAACCCACTGACTTATAAATTAGGCTCTGCAAATCATGTAGCTTTTATGACTGCTAAGGCAGCCCAAATTCAACACAAGAAATTGTGCATAGCAAAAAGATCTCAAAGCCTTGACCAGTAGCCCATTTATTTAAATATATATCTAAGGCAACAAAAATTTTAGCACAATAAAAGAATTGGAATTGTAACACTTGGCATTCTCAGAAATGGTCAGTTTGAAATATTCTTCGTGCCTACATTTTACCCAGTAATATGGTTTTATGTGAAATCACAGGGCAATGAACAAAATAGAAATTTGAATGAAATGTGAGATTATAAAAATGTTAATGTAAGATCAAGTAGGGCTTAAACCTAGGCAGAGTCTGCCTCAACCTGATTCTGAAGAGCCAAAAGAAAAAAAAAAAAAAAGGACCAACTAAGAATGTTTGTAAAAACAGGAAATGCATGAATTGAGGTTCCCTCAAGATATGAATACTTTATTTGTACATGGAATCAAAAGCAGATTCATACAGGTCATATTTAAATGACTAATAAACACACTTCACAGATCAGAAATTTAGGTAACCTTAAAATCATTAATTAGAGATAAATGTGCTCTGCAAAATGTGACTTCATC